GCCGACGGGGCGAAGCAGCAAGTTGCTGCCAAGTCCATCCCCGCTGTCGGAAACGATTGATCTTGCCCACAGACGCTGTTTCAAGAGGACAGCAGTCTCCAGTTCACTTAATACCTTTGATACCCTTTCTACTCGTGCTTTCAGCGACGGGGCTTTCTTCGTCATTGTATGATCTCGTTGCACGTAAACGCAGCATCAGAACAGCCACTTGACGGCGCAGTGCCGACTTTACGTCCCTGAGAGTTCCGCAACCTTCTATCGCCACAGCGCATATCGGGATCGTGTAAGAGAAGCTCGACACTGCCGCAAGGCGCCCTCTACGGGATGCGGGACCACGGAACGGAGAATTTGCCCAAACAGAGACCACTACTTCCCTTCTTGCGCAAGAGGTGGGTCTAGGATTGCACAGCCGACAGTTGTGCTTGGGAGTCTTCGCCAGGCAGCCATTCTAGGATCAGCAGAAACAGCCCCTATTTCGATCACGATCGCAAGGTTGATCAACTTGGTCAGGCGCATGAAGTCCCAGTTGACAGAAGCACTCAAGAAGATTGAGGCAGTCTTTTATCGGAGGAGACCGCCGTTCTGTCACAGGATTCTTCTCCGCCACTGCGATTTGTAGACCCCATTGCACGACAGCTCAGCAACTGCGCTAGGGTCTGACGCACATGCGAGCAGTGGGAGACTTTCGAGACGATCAACAGATACACAGCAGGAAGCCTCCTGCGGCGAAGCTGCTCCGTGTAGTATAGGCCAGCACCAGCGATGTTCGGCAGGCTTAATGCTAGAGTTCACAGAGGGAAAGATGGAAGGCACTGTGATTCGAGAGTTTCACAGGAAGAGAGGTAAGACAGATTGCGATCCACTAGGCATCTTCTGGTGCCAGCATTCGAAAGTCAATTCGCTCTACGTCACAATTACAAAGATTACAAGGTACACTCGCTTGCAGAATTGGCTTCCGGTATCTACACTTCGCGGCCTTTCTTACAGCAGGGGGGTTAGCCTCGCTTAGCGGGAGCTATACCTTATACGCTTTAGATTAACTTAATGCGCCCAGCTCCTGCTAGTATCTGTAATATGATACTCCTCTATCGCCGGAAAGCTTACAACACTGTTGATCTCGGTGATGGACAGATGACTGACATAATAAATAAACTGCCCCACAGACTATAAAAATGCACTAGCCCCAAAGCTACATTGTGGCCTCACGTGCCTCACTAGTGGAGAAGGGCTGATGCCACGAAAGTTTGGCGTTATCGATAAGGTGCGGCGCAGCACGACGAGATGTTCAGCCTTGTTGCGGCCGCAATCCCTTAGCCCTCCGCTCCCGCTTTAGCTCCTCCGCCTAGACAACGCCATCGTCCTCCATTTCCGCCTCCCCTCTATACGCATCTGCCACTTATGTCGGTTTCACGACATGGATCCGCTCAGCGTCGCAGCCAGCATTATCGCAGTTCTCCAGCTCTTAGCTAAGGTCCTCGAGTACCTAAGCGACGTCAGAGATGCCCCGAAAGAACGCTCGCACTGCGAGGCTGAGATATCGAACCTTTCCGCCTTACTTCGCGCCTTGCGAGATCACGTCTAGACCGGAGATCTAAGCCAGCCGTGGTATGCCGCTATCGCAGAGCTCGCAGCCCCTAAGGGCCCGTTTGACCAGTTCAAGTAGGCACTCAAAGCGCTGCAGACTAAGATTACAGATAGAGGTCGAATGAATAAAGTAGGTGAAGCGCTCGTGTGGAAGTTTAAGAAAGAGGACATTGCTAGCATATTGGATCGAATAGAGCGTTTGAAGTCGCTTGTAGAGACCGTGTTGCACATGGACTACTTGTAAGCTTCCCCACTAGGACGGTAGAGCGGTGTTGCTTACATCTTAAAGCAAACTCTCCTAAGCTATTAAAGACGATACCCACTTCGTTCGGACGCACGTACTTGCTATCTAGTTAGGCGTAGACGAGATCTAGCAAGATTAAGACGCTGCGAAGCACCGCAGGATTCTAGAATGGATCTCTCCTACAGACTACCCTGTACAACAATCTAACATTATAAAGCGCAGACAGGAGGGAACAGGCCAATAGTTTCTAGATGCGCCTTAGGTGGCCACGTGGCTTAGTGAACACCAGGCAACACTCTTCTGCCTAGGTATCCTAGGAGCTGGTAAGACCATGGTGGCTGCTATCGCGATCGACTATCTGTTAGAATTAGTGCAGAGCAGCTAATATGGAGTTGCTTACGTGTACTGCAACTATAAGGCTCGGGAGGAGCAGGATACTTTGAGGATGTTGGCAGCTATCCTTAAGCAGCTGGTGTAGGCTCGACTGTCGCTAGTAGATCCCGTGGAACGGTTGCACAACTAGCATACTAACAGAGGAACTAGGCCATCGCCTGATGAGGTCTTTAACGCACTCTAAGATGTACTTGCACATTACTCTACTGTCTATATTGTGGTCGATGCTCTGGATGAATGTCTGGATAGCGACGGCACTCGGCGCTAGTTTCTAGCCAAACTCCGCAATCTTTAGGCGGGACGTGACGTTCGCCTAATAGCTACCTCGCGTTTTATTCTAGAGATTGTGGACTGGTTTCACGAAGGGCTGCAGCTAGAGGTGCAGGCTAGTAAAGAGGATGTGAAGCGATTCGTAGCTGGCCAGATATGTCGACTGCCGAAGTGTATTCAGCGTAACCCTGCGCTACAGGAAGTTGTCTAGGAAAAGGTTGTAGAGGCGGTAGACGGCATGTATGTTCGTCCTAGCTAACTCGTGATATGACGCAGACTTACACGTTCCTAGGTTTCTTCTTGCTCGCCTCTACACTAATTCGCTGCTAGACAAGAGGACGGCGAAGGACGTGAAGTCAACCTTGGCTAAGCTCTCCAAAGGCTTAGCCGCACTCGATAACGCATACAAGGAGGCAATCTAACGTATAGAAGGCCAGTTAAGCGGGAATTACGAACTAGCCAAAAGAGTACTGTCGTGGATCACGTATGCGAAACGGCCGCTTACCACGACAGAGATCTGCTGTGCTCTAGCAGTAGAGCCGGACGAGGCGGAGCTCGATCCCGAGAACGTACCTGATGTTGAGGACCTATTATCCGTGTGTGCTGGACTGGTCGTCGTTAACTAAGAAAGCGCTGTCATCCGTCTTGTGCATTACACTACCTAAGAATACTTCGAACGTATCCGAGAGGCATGGAATCCAGGCGCTTAATTATATATAGCCTCGACATGTCTTACGTATCTATTATTTAGTATATTTAAAACTGGGAGCTGCTCCTCTGACGAAGAATTTGAAGAGAGGCTTTAAGGAAGCCAATTCTTAGACTATGCTGCTAAGCACTGGGGAGAGCATGCGTTAACAGTGGAAGCCCAGATATGTGTGCTAGCCTGCTCATTTTTTTCCTACAAAGGATTGGTTTCTTGCGCTGTGCAGGTACTCTTGCGTCCAGAATACACATATCAGGGGTATAGCCAGAGATATCCCAAGGACAGCACAGGATTGCATCTTACAGCACGTTTCGGATTAGCCATTGTATTGGAGGCACTGCTCCTAAACCAAGTAGGAGAGACAGCACTTATATTGGAAAGAAGAGATAGCGACGGCCAGACTCTCCTAGATCTTGCAGCAGAACATGGACATCAAAGAATGGTGAAGCTGCTGCTCGACAAGGGCGCCAACGTCAACGCGCAGGGTGGATACTACGGCAGCGCACTCCAGGCGGCTTCACAGGGAAGCCACGAGGCGGTGGTAAAGCTGCTGCTCGACAATGGCGCCAACGTTAACGCGCAGGGTGGACGCTACGGCAACGCACTCCAGGCGGCTTCAGAAAGAGGCTACGAGGCGGTGGTAAAGCTGCTGCTCGACAAGGGCGCCGATGTCAACGCACAGGGTGGAGAGTACAGCGAGGCACTCTACGCGGCTTCAGAAAGAGGCCACGAGGCGGTAGTAAAGCTGCTGCTCGACAATGGCGCCGACGTTAACGAGCAGACTAGACACTGGGGTAGCGCACTCTACGCGGCTTCAGAAGGAGGCCACAAGGCGGTGGTGAAGCTGCTGCTTGACAAGGACGCCGACGTCAACGTGCAGGGTGGAGATTACGGCAACGCACTCCAGGCGGCTTCAGAAGGAGGCCACGAGGCGGTGGTGAAGCTGCTGCTCGACAAGGGCGCCCACTCCAACGTTAAGCGACCCAAGGTTTAGGGCTGCGCACCCCCGAACCTTTGCTAGCTCTGCGCTTAGCTAGTCATGTGTTTAGCCGCCGTGCGTAGATCTGTCACACTCAGGATACAATATTCACTGAACGTAACTTGTTCTCATACAAATCATCATTTCTCTATCTTATAGAGGGCCGGGGATAAGCATAACTATATACTACATTAGTTTAACACAGACAAGCTTCGAGCATGCCCTAAATTCAAGTAGTAGTGAGATAGCTACTTTTAGAACTACGACGTGAGCGTTAAAGATGTGATGGGCTAGGCCTAGAGTAGGATCCTCGGTTGTACTTCGGTGGTGCGCCTCACATTGCAGGCCGCGGCGGCCTCAAGTATCAACTACGCAAGACAACGCGCAGCTTTGTTGTCTTGTGCCAGCCTTTTGGCTGCGCGGTCGGCGCGTGTAGTTGCGTGCAAGGCCTGATAGGCCCGCCCGTTACGAAAGATTCGCCATTTCAACATCGTTAAACTGACGAACTCCTCCAGCGACGTTAGCAGGGAGGACGATTGACCCGCACCAGCCACAAGGTTAGAAGCTTCCAGCGGTAAAGGAGTATCATATTACAGATACTAGCAGGAGCTGGGCGCATTAAGTTAATCTAAAGCGTATAAGGTATAGCTCCCGCTAAGCGAGGCTAACCCCCCTGCTGTAAGAAAGGCCGCGAAGTGTAGATACCGGAAGCCAATTCTGCAAGCGAGTGTACATCTCGCAGGACCAACGACTGTGGAATGAACATGCAGGATCTTGTTGAACGTCGTTGACACATCTCGAGATTAGGGAACAAAAAGTGCCCATCAGGCTGTATAGTTGACCAGGCCGCTCAATTGCTTTTTCTTACGTTCACATCCGACCGCTCGGACATGCCACCGAACACCATCCAAAGTGGACCGCACGCTAGGTCTACGCCTACTAAATGTGCTATGCGGCTCGACTCGAGCCATGCTGATGGGCACAGTGGACTCGCACCAGTGGGAGCTTACTGCCTCCCTTATCTCAGATTGGGTGGACAAAATGACGTCTTGCACGGCCCCAGTGCAGTCTTGGGTGACGAAGCTGTCTCTGCGGCCGCCAGAGCGTCTTTTTCCTCGCGCTACAGGGCCGACATCATAGCGGAAAAGATAATCTATCAGCGGAACCGTCTCAACGTGGGTATCGAGTTTGCTATGCAGTTTGCTACCAATGGACTCGGCATGTTGCACGAATGTGTCGCTCTCCTTCAAGCCGTTGCGGATATGATCTACTGCGGACGTGATTCGCCCGGTGACGACAACACCTAAGGACCAGTCGAACATGATACTGTCCACGAAGTCTGTAGAGTCATCCATCGCCGATTTGTCGTGACTCGACGAGTCGGGCCCTTTAGGCGTTATCCGGATCCATGCGTCCGATACCAACGAGACAGGCCAGTAGGTCATCTCAACATACTTGCACGCTGAGATGAGCGCGATTTCTAGTAGTGTGATTAGGGCAAGGCTGTGCGGCGCGCCTGCGTCTTCGGACAGCCGGCCTACAGCATCACCATTATTGAGCTTTACCATAACGTACTGTCCATCATGACGGACACCCTCTAGAGGCAGAACTGCGCAGTCAAATGTCCCGAAGCGGAAAGACGAGGATCCGCAAGTCTCAGTAGCAAAAGCGTCCGCGACAGTTGTGGCCTTCGAGCTAGCAACAACGGTCGGGATCAGCCCCTGCCTCATCGTCCTTCGAACGAGCGCGCCCATGGTGACATTCGGCTCGACCGAAGCAGTAGATTCGTCTAGATGGATCTGTACTACCTGATTGAGGCCTGAGAGCTCACTGGAAGCACTACAGGGTACTTTCCGAGTGTGACTCTGGCCTGCTTGGTCCCGAGTAGCCTGCTTCATTTTCTTGCATATAGCGGCAACGGCGTGTCGATGCTTTTCCCATGGCTTGTCATCGTACTCCAACGTATCGCATAGCATCTGTGACGGCTGGGCTTGCACGAGCAAGGACGCGACGAACCTGAGCACGCTTTCAGGGAGTCCGCGGCGAGAGCGAGATAAAGATACGGTCAGTAAGCGAGTACATGATCATCTTCGGATCTTCTCGCTCGTGCTGTTAACCCTGGGGTAAGCCCGATTGAGGCTTTGGCGGAGCTTTGAACTGCTCGTTCATGATGACCGTAAGGTAAGGAGACGATATGATTACATAGCCAGCGTCTATCCCATCGCGCGGCTGCACTTGTACTAAATGCTAGCCGCACCGCAGGCTTGTCTAGTCGACTCCTTTGCGCTACGCATCTACCTAGGATTCGCCATTCCTTTATCGTAACACTATCGTCAGCAGGTTGATTTGCGGTTAGAAAGCCCAGAACTGCTTACTGTTGCAGGCTTCGCGAACCTGCGGAAAAGGGCATGGTTTTTCACTGCTCCATGGATGATCTCTCCTCCGAGCGCTCAGCCTTAGCGGATACTCTGACCTGGACGCGACCACTCCACCCCTCGTCTAGACAGGCTGACGGAAATCTTCAGTTCGCTGTCAATCGCCAGGCAACCACCATTCTCTCCTGCCTACCTTCTCCAGATGCCTCCATCACGGTAACATTTGCATGCCCGTGTCTCTGCGACACCCGTAGTCGGAACGGAGCTGCGGGTAAAAGTACGGAGAAGCTGGATGCGTCTCTCTAGTACCTGCTCTGTCTTCCACCGATCTGGAGAAGGGTCTTAGACAGCGTGTCCGCTTTCGATGCCGCAAAGCTCGATAGCTTGCAGCTGTGCGTGTTGACTACGATGGAAAAAAAGCGATATCTCAAGCCGCTCCGAGATCTGGTGTGGAATGCGCCTGCGGTCGAAAGTCTTTCACGAGAAGGCATGAAACTGACATTGCTGGGAGACAGTGCTTATGCGCTCGAGCAGCGATTGCACGCGACGGAACGTTATTTGAATTCGCACGGGCACGGTAGGCTCGCGATCTACCTGTTGGGCACTTTTCTAACATCCGCGCCGACAGTGACGACGCTTGACCCGCTAATCAACTTCAGCACTACGGGAAATTCCAGCCCTGTGCGATCTTACGGTGACAAATACCAACTTGGGCGCATTCGCGCTGTCACAGACACAGATGCAGACAGGGTCTTTGTCATGAGTTTCAGTGCACCAATGCGGGCGACCGCTACTCCTATAAAGGGATCATGGTACAAGGTAGACGACGTCCTAGATCACACGGTAGATTTGTGGGTGTATGTGCCCTCTTTCCGCGACCGGCTTCGTGAGGAGGTTAGGCTAACACCACTGGACATGCTACGGATAGTGAGAGCAAGTCCGCTGCCAGTGGCGCCACCTGTTACTCTAGGAAGAACGCCCATTGCAACATACGTGAAAAAGAGGCTCCGCAGTGTAGCTTTCGACGCTTTAGTGCGTACACTGGGTCCTATATCGACTCTGAGCCAGCTGTTCGCTGTATGCACAGGACGCCATCATCTGAAGAAATATTCATTGACAGCTGCGGGTTTACATTCTGCAGAAGCAACTCCCTTGGCACAGCTTCTAGGCGAAGAAAGCTCTGCGCGCCGGCTGCTCCTACACTGTGGACTGTCTGCGTTTGATGTTGGTTTGGGGTTACGCGCAGCTGTCGGGCCTACGCAAGCCCTAAACATACGACTTTTCCTTGATATAGCTAACTATAGCACCCTGGGCTGGGGTATTACAATCGCCTAGATTGCGCATAGCAGCGGACTGGTGCTCGCATGATCCGAGAAATCTGTTCTGCATTGGGACAGTTGCGCCTGACAAAAGTCAAGCGGGCGGCGCGAGGGCTTACGCTACGGTGGTAAGAATAGTTAAACATAACAATAGTGTACAATGGCTGATTGCACTTTCTTGAGCTTCGCAACTCCTTCTGACGTGGAGTAGCGAAAGGTTATACTAGCTACACTGTCTCCAGTTAGTGTCTGCTTCTGTATTCTGCTTATATAATCTCGGAACAATAAGTATCTTAGTTACGTAGTAGTCTTCGTTCGCCTGAAGTTGATACTTGAGTGTGTTCCTAACCTAACTTCAGCCATGTTATTTATGTAGCTGTACAACTAGATAGATTAACAAAGCAATTAGGCTACTAAGAAGCTGCTAGTGCTAGCTGTAGCTGATACGAATTTATGTGCAGGTGCCATTCGCGAGTGAATTGGTGTCGCAGGCCAATAGTTGTCGTGAACATAGACTGTTCAACTAACAAAGCTGTGCGATGACTTTCAGATAAGCTAGGGTAGGATGCTAAAACAATACGACTTGTGTTCCCTCTCTTCTGCTCTCTCTACAATAGCCGCACCCAACCTTACAACAATAAGTCTAATAGAAAGGTGAATTAGGTTGTGCAGGCGCCCTAACCTATCCACGTCGAGGAAAGTACTAGATCCTCAAAGCCCAGTTATAACTTGTTCCGTACACATTTAACACTTCTAACATAGCTTAGCCACCTTCGGCCATGTTTACACCTCTATCCTCTTCGCGTTCCCCTCAAACTAACAAAACTATCCTCTTCCCCTTGTGTCCGAAACACTTAACGCTGCCTTTGTAAGCTACAACATCGCCACTATATGCATAGCCCTCGCAATGTTCGCTTGTACACGTCTAAGTGTTCTCCTTTCCTCCTTTTTCTAGTAGATAACATCTATACTAACACCCTTTTCCCTTTTTGCCGGCTCTGTCTTTACCTTCAACATGCTCACACCGCATTTCAAGTAGGAATTGATCACTTGTAAGCTTTATAGACGAAGTGCGCATGTAGTTAAGATCCTCTTTGTTGAAGCCATAGGTGCGTTGTTTAGCAGGAGTGTCCCTAATCTTAAGACCTTCACTTCGTGCTAATTGTTTAGAGCGAGAGCAGGTAGATACGCTGAAAATCTTGCTAAGCAACCAACGAGATAGATCTGACGGAGTAAGAGTAACCAGAGTATAGGTTGTAGTACCAGGTTCCCATTCGCCAAGAGGATTGGAGTAACCATCTACGGCCATAACATAGAAGTTTACACAGGGGAACAGAGTGATTCGCCTCGTAGGAATTTACAGCCTTCAATTAACACGAGTGCTTCAAAGATATCAATCATCTAAAGGTGCTGACGAGAGCTGCTAAGGTGGGGGTTAGGTAGATGCTTACGCAGTAGGAATAGTTACGCGAGAGCGCTGTCACGGCCGCCTTCTCTATAAGTAATCTAATTGCGCTTTATACTACGAAGTAGATTCCGTGCTGGCACGGACGCTTACTGCACCTCAATTAATATAACGTTAAGATACATTTCGCGTGAGGGCTTGCTTCGAGGGCATTGTAATCATTTGAGATCCGCTCGAGAACGTCTGCCACAACCTATGTAGGCGTTTCAAAGCGTTCAGGTCATATACAGTGCCTTGCACGCGCAGTCCATTCGTTCTAGATCAGACACTAGAGTCTCCCCATTTCACGTCGACTAAACAGTTAAAGTACTACGCTATAAACGACAAAATTCTTCACGACGCGTATAGTGGAAATACTACTGAACCCGCGGACTAGACAAGAATTGTAAACGCACAGGGAATCGGCTTCCTACACGACCATGACTCTGAGTAAGCCCTCACAGCTCGTGCACGCAACAGACAGCCTTAGAACTACTGAAATTCTAGGAATAAAGCAAATGTTGGATCGCTATACGGCCTCTTTACTATGGAAGTCCAAGACGGTAACGCTGCCTTCCTCTCCTACGAAAACGCTTGCTGTTGTAGGCTCAACAGGCTTTCTTAGGCCGTACATCGTTGCATCTCTGCTACAACAGCATCCTAAGTGCGATATTATCTGCTTTAATCGCAGCGATAGCGGGAAGCAGCGCACTATGTTAGCGCTGCAAGACATTATAGGCGACACTTCCTCAGCGCACTAACGTTTGAAATTCCTCGTTACTAACATCGCGAGCCGCGTTAAAACTCTACACTAAGATCCTATTGTAGAGATAATACCCTAGGTAGACGAGCTAATTTTTAACGCTTAGGACCCTAACTAGGGCAAGCCTCTTAGCTCTTTTAAGTCCTTATTGGGAGCGCTTCACAAAGTCATCAACCTTCTCGCCTCTTCTGCTAGACATCCTCGGATTACCTTTATTTTATTAGTCTGCGCTGTAGGCGACTGGCCGCTTCGGCATCCTGACCAGCCCATAATTCCAGAAGAAGTGATATAGGACTGCAACAGCGCAATGCCAAACGGGTACGGCTAGTCTAAGTGTATTGCAGAGCAGCTGCTCGCTAAAGCGCATAAGATCGCAAAACTTCGCGTTAACATAGTGCGCGCAGGCCAGATTAGCGGGTCGACGAGCTCAAAGCATTGCACATAGCCGCGGCAGGGTTAGCTCTATTCTGTTATTTAATTGTTAGCAAAGCTTAGTGTGTTTCTAAAGCACGTTTAACCTTTGGATTAGATCCCCGTAGATGCGCTTACGCAAGGCATAGCCAACTGTATCAAGCGCCTACCTACGTTAGAAGATTTACACGTCTTTAACATAGTTTATCCTTATCCCGCCGCCTAGAGTCTATTACACGAAACGTTGTAAACTAGGTTTGGATTTTCTGCTAAAGCGGTAGACCTGCCAGACTAGCTAAAGAAAATGAAGCACGGCGACTTAAGGATACATGGCTTCTTAAGTACACAGGGCAACAGCAGGGAGGCGAACATGTCGTATAAGAACACGCGAGCATTAGAGGTATTGCCCCCGATAAGCCCAATTAACATAGACTTGTTAGCG